CCTTTTTGAAGTCGAAATTAAAAGTATGCGGTTTTTGGATACAACAAATTTAAAAATTTTGCGGTTTTGTTCTGTATTTTATCAAAAGTGTACAGTTTTAGAAATCAACGAATTTCATGTAATAAGTTTTATTAAAAATCCATTACAATAGACCTATATTATGATTTTATTAACACGACTTTTCAAACGACACCGGAATGCCTTACCTAGACAAATGAATCAAAGGACTGTTTTTCAAATTCGAACATTCCATTTTATGTTTATTTTTTTTGGCATGCGATTCGGACGCACGAAAATTTAGTCGATAAAAGTCGTGTAACTGTTCATTACATTAATCATTTTATCATTGATTATCATAATTAGTTTTCAAAACGTTACTATTCGAGTATTAATATATATTGATATTACATGTTTACTATATATACATGTTCAACATTAAATAGATATATCTTGAATTTCAAACCAGAGAGTAAAAACGAGTTTGGAAATTTCGAATTCCGGGTTTCAAATCTGAAAACGGTTTCAATTATTTTTTTTTTCGAATTTTGATTTTCGTGACCGAAAATAAATTCAATTTTTTTCGGATTTCGTATCTGAGAACAATTTCGAAAAATCCCAGATTTTTCATCCCATGTTTGAAATCAAATGTGGTAGGTATTAACAATTGTTATAATTATTATTTATACTACAGTAAATAGTATATTTATATATTTTATTTACAACATAATCAAGGCCGTATCTAGAAATTTTTTTGGGAGGGGTCCAAAACATGTATATTGTAATTTTATTGAGTTTAGATTTTAACTTTTGACATTTGGTTAAAAATATACAGAAAAAAGATTTAATCTTCTTTTATTAACATTATTATCATATTTTCATATGATATTATGATATAAAATTATAAGCAGTCAATAATTAATTGGAGTTTAAGTCATTTTTGACTGAAAATATTTATGTTGGTATTAAAAATAAAGTACTTTATTGCTTTACTTTACTTAGTATTATAAACATTCGTAAAATATTGAAGAAATTTTGGAGAGGTCCAGAAAACCTGGACCTCCTTCCAGATACGACCTTGAACATAAACATGGTAAATTAGTACATATTTTTTTTTCCTTTGGTCAAAAATTTATTTATGCAAGCACGATAGCTTAACTGAATAATGAGCAAAAATTATCAGATTTTAAAATATTAATAAATGTCATCGTCATAGTTTTGTTTTATTATTTTTTTGCTTGTTAATGTGTTAAGTTCTTCATGAAATACATATGCCATTATCATAATATTTATACTATTACGAAAACATTCAAGAGAGTATATTTTTATTGACCCTCGTTAGTTTCCATTACGATCTGGTCAAACGATTTATATAATAAATATATTTTAATAACAATAGTCACGAAAAGTGACGCAATAAATAGTATTTCATTTATAATATAAATACACTGGCTATTAGTGTTAAAACGCATATGCACACTAATTTATTTATTGTTTTCGAGAAATTTTGTGTAGCTTATGTGCGTTAAGGTCAAAGTAACTCGAGGAAACTTAATAGTCATAAATATATAGTACTACTGTATGGATATTAAGAAATATCCATAATAACTATGATGATATGACTAGGTTTATGGAAAAAGTTAGGATTCTATTCGTGTCCAAAAAAAATATTTATACCGTCCGGTATTGCATACTTAAGCCAGGTCCTATGTATAGATTTCAATTATGTGTGTCATATTATATATTATAGTGGAAAAAATACATGCATTTATTTTTTTAATTAATCTCATTGTTTTTTACTTTGGTTTTATTAATTTATTTTAATTTTTTTTTATATATATTATTTTGGACAGTTAAGTACAAGGCATAATTTTATTAGAGACCGGGTTAGGGTAGGCTTAATAAAGTTTCATCCTGTGGCAGGTCTCATATTTTCATATTTTAAAATTTTAACTTGACTTACGCTATATTAACATGTCCTATGAATATTAAAAATAATTGTTTGCATTATAGAAACATTCATACATTCTACATATTGGATTAAAAAATAATACGGTATAAAAGAAAAAAAACGACATTGATGTGTAATGATTCCAAATTCCAAAATAAAGGCATCAGATAGAATTAATTGTTTTGATAGCAGATTACCTCTGAACCCGTCCGCGAGTTATAGTGGCTATACGAGTGAACGAAATTATTCGTGTTCTTGACTTTTACTTCAAATCATTTACAGTATAAATCATCCGAATATCGATACAACGATCGTCTCAAACGGCAAACTAAGCGAACTTAATGTTTTCGTATTTATGGATTCAGCCGTAATGTAGCATAAACAATGATTAATCCGTATTATAAATTATAATAATAGAATAACAAAAATGATAACTGTAATAATCGCATTATTACTTTTTCGCTTGTCCTTAAATATATTCCGTTCGTTTGGACCACAAAACAATAACGTCGAAGGTCGCGCGCACATTGTAAAGGGTTGAGCGTCGAACGTCAAGCATCGAGTCGCAGAAAACAATTAAGCCCATGCATTTGAATCTCTGTACGCGTATTGACAACGAGCTGCGAGCGTCAGCGGCGCGACGCGTCACAAATCAAACATGTTCAAATGTCGACGCTCATGAAATATAGTGTTATTTTCATGGTCTACACCGAATAACTTAAGTAGTAAAAATTTTAAAATTACATTTTATTATGTATTGTACATAATTCTTTATAAACATATAAAGACGTAGATATTAACAAGCCTTAAAATTGGATGGCCGTGAACAGTATAGTTGTGGGCTTGCGGCGTGGTAAATGGCTTTCTACGTGTATCAATACATTTATACGTTATTGAGTAATAGATACCATGTGGACTAGACAACAGCAATAATTATCCAAGGAACTTTAATAGGATATATTTTAAGGGGAAATCATCTAGGCTTATGGAACTTTCTGTAAATATTTTTGAGACGACTAATGTATTGAACTCCAACCCTTTTCTTTTTCAACGATTGATTGCGTAAAATTAAGTTGTCGAAGAAGATCATTAGACGATCTACCGTGATGAACGACCTGTTGAATACATAAAAATGTTCATATTTTAGATATTAAATGAACCACACCGCTCAAAAGTAACGCTCTGCATTGTGCGTACCTTTGACGCTCGACGTTCAACGCTCTTCAATATACACACGATCAAAGATGGTGGTGGTACATTACGTCACGAAACATTTTTGGGAAATAATAAATATGTCAGAGATTTCTAAACTGTGGATTGCGATTATATTTTTGATGGGTCCCATTAAATTTTAAAATATATACATTTTTTTTGATAATTTATTCATAAATATTGTATATGTAAATACGAGTATAAAATACATCCCTGAACTTTATTTCCCAAATTCTTACTCATTATAATGTAATATTATCTTCACTAGTTATTTTCAAACTTATTTTTCAGTTTTCAATTACTTTTACCCGTAGTCATTCATTTGACGTTTCTAATCGTAACCACTCGAACGTAGCCTTGTACTCCACGTTCAGTAAAACTGCTTAAAATATTTATAAAACTAATAAATTACATAAATCCTACCTTCAAGATTAATCTTTATGTATTTTTAATATGTATTAATAACATACATATATAAATAAATTAAAAATAAAAACCAAATCAATGGTAACATATAAAATATGTTGTTTAATTATTTTGAAGCACTGTCTTTTGAAATACCATCCTCAGTGCATGATTGACAGTATTTAACAGAATTTTTTTTTGATTTTCGCTTATTTCAGCCATTTTTTTCCATTAAAAAAATATCTTACACATAAATCGAGTGGAAAAATATTTTACACTATCCTACTACATTGCTACTATATTGTATTATAATAAATATTAGCTCTGTTACAAATAATCCAAGAATTCTTAGTATAATAATTTCAATTCGTGATAACATAAAATTAATTGATTACATAAACTTGACCCACCCGCAGTAAAAAAAAAAAAAAAAAAAAACTTTATTTTTGGTCTGACCGAATTATTTGTAGATTTTGAAAATCAATTTACCATAATTTACTAACTATTTTCTAACTGTTGGAATAGGTTTTATAAATGAATTGATATGTGGATAGGCCAAATTCAGGAATGTGTATAATATTATATATATATATATATATACATATATATATTATTTTCCATTTTTCCTGTTTATACGTTTATAACTTGTCTTTGATGTCCAAATTTAGTTTTATCATAAATGGTAAAAAAAAGGTCACTGATTACTGTGGATTGTCACAATTTAAAAAATATACAAAATGAGTCTTATCACATAGGTTTGGGAGTCAATAATTATACAGTTCCTATACAGTTTAAATCGAATACATTGTATTATAATAATGGGTTAGTACTTGCGTGTGAACGCGATGACGATAGTTAATTGCAATAATAATATATTAACACATCGGCACGCTCATATTGTGTTCAATATGTACATATAAAAAGTGTCGCGTTCGATTCAACACGGTAGCCGCTGAAGAGTGTGTATTTATATATAAATATATATAAATACACTGTAGCTATATGGACACATTATTTGTGGTATCATAGTAAATAGTGTATTTTTCGCATAAAAATATTTCACCAACCGAAATAATAAACCGTTAGGAAATCAATTCGCAAACGCACCGCTTCAATCCGATGCTTAAACCCTTAGAACGGGTAGTTTAATAACACGCGTGTTTATGTATATGTGTGTATGTGTGTTTGTGTGTGTAGTTATAATACAGAGTTCGTGCGGACTATCTCGATACATCGTGATTTTTAATTTAAATACGTTTAGGTACCTGCTGTAAAATATATAATAATGGCGATAATAACAATAACACGCCCTTCCGTGATCGGAAAAGTGGCGTTTTCAGGAATGAACAGGCGGAGAGAAAAAATATAAAATTTAAAAAGTTGCCGGGAACGAGTGCCAACACAATTTAATCGTGTTTCGCTGTACCGTTTGGGCGGGCGTGTGCAGTGTACAATAATCGCGGTACGTGGTTAAAGCAAGGAAGAGCAATACGTAAATAATTGAACGGTATAACGTGTTGCGGAAACCGGATATAAGATGCTGGAGATGTACAACGTGCCGATTACAGTTACAACAGCGGCTTCTCGATCGTTTTTCGACCGTCTGTGCGATCCGTTCTTCTCGGCGTTTCGCGTTTTGGGCATGTGCCCGTACACGAGAAATCGAAACGGTATTTTCTTATTTTTTGTACAATTAATACTGGTTCAAACCTCAGAAACTATGATGGCCATTGACTGATAGTAGTGATGATATGGTCAGTTTTTTGTGATAAGCTAACAGAATTTGAGAACTCGTGATTTGAGTACACGGTTTCACCGCCAGAAACCTGGACGGTCACCCATCCAAAAACTACAGAATTCTCAAACTGCAGTACTTATTACTATCAGTGGCTCCGACTAATTTATAACGCGTTACATCATATTCCTACATGATATTTTCATTTTTGTCTTACACATCTAACACGTAGTTATCCTACACGATCCTCGTCAATATATATAACGACCTCTTGCGTTATTCTCATCAAGTGATATTTGATGTTTGTGTGTGATTTGCCGATCGATTGAAAACCAAATAATTCCTAAGAAACCGTTGGCTGTGATTTTCCGAGGAGTTTCGAAAAAACGCTTTACCTACATCTGGCACCTGTTTTCGACATATACAAATTGTGGTGCATAGTCATAAATATTATTACTTGTTACAATTCGGTAAAATGAATAATAACAGCAAATCAACACTTTACTACCACTATGTCAGTTATACAATCATAGCCGTGCGTGAGAGTATCCCACGAAATGTTATAAATGGAATCCTTTAATATTTTAACTGATGTTGCTCAAATTAAATGTTATTTGTTCTAAAATATTTGACAAAACATAAATGATGTTTCGCAATAGAGAAAATAAAATAAAAATGTCCTCAATTGTCGATCGAAAACTAATTATGATAATATAACAACTATAATTTACTTCAAAAGTACAAATCATAAATAATTAAAGCTATCTGAAAAAAATATATGAAATTCAAGGGAAATATATTCATTGGGACTAATATACAACAATATTAAATAAAAAATTAAAGTTATGTTTTCTTATTTGTTTATGTATTATAATTTATTACATATGCCAACACGTTTTATTAAAATAGGGCCCAAAAGTATTGTAGGCACCCTCTGAAATACAGATTTGCGCACGCCTATGTTACAATATCAATGCAGAAATTATACGATTATAATATTATTATAATAATAAGTACCTAGTTTTCAATGCGCGTTTTGACAAATCGTTTTCCTTCTATTTCGATTAAATTTGTGATTGCAAGTATTAATATTAATGTGATGTTATTATTCGTTGGCTTAACAAAAAAAAAATAAAAATCAGCATATAATCAATATCCAGAAATTATATATTGCCCTGAACATTGTCCGTAGTCGTCTACATAGCTGTGATTTATTATTACTTTGAAGTACATCCACCCCGTCAATATTATTGCAATTAGGTTAGCTAGCCCACCCGACCTTAAGCTTACATCTCGTTCAATTTTTTATACATCGTTGTTGTCGTGTTCTCGAGATATGTACGTCCGTATGGTACAAACCGCATACAATTCTTTTAGGAAAATCATTAAAATCCCTTACACTGTAGAAACGCATCCCTTTTTCTTCGCCTTATATTGCTTGTAAATATGGTTTTCGACTTGACGATCCCATTGAAATAAACCATTTTTTTACTCAGCAGTGCGTGAATACCGCACTCAATATGAATTTATGTGTTAATATGCGCGCGCATGGGTGTGTGTGTGTATGTGTGTATGTTTGTTTGTATATCTACTGCGTACCGTATATACGTGTATACGTAAACTATGAGTGAGTTCTATTATAAACGCAGAAAACATTTGTGAATACGCACCATCGCACCATTTATACAGGACATAATAGGTATATATCTCTACGTAACATTATTGTAGTTGTTGCGCAGGTATTTATCGTATATTCATATACCGCACAATCATATTTCTATTTATATATATGAATAATAAAATGATACATAACATATACTACATGTATCAGTGGCACCGAACTTTTAAAATGTTACTCAGGCCAAATAAAAATTCAACGACCTGAAGCACTCCGGCGGCCACAAGCCTATATTTTTACTTTACATACAACAATAATTTGTGTTTTCAAATTACAATTATTAAGCATGATTCATACTAGACAGACACGTACCGACAGTAACCATACCGTACCGTTCTGCAAAATATTTTATTGTCTTTTAATGAATCTTTTAATAATTTTTAGGTAATTCGATATTTAAATGTTTTTGTTTCGTTCTTACACATACCGAACCGACAGAGTTCGTCCGGCGCCCCTCGTGAGAATAATCGCAACGTCAGAATATTAAAAATAAGTGCAAACCGTAGATCTCTCTGATTCCCGACCTTTTTTTTAAAAATGTAGAGCATAGAGATCAGCACCGCTGAAATGTTTTATATATAACATATTTTGTCACAGATACTAATGAATTATTAAGTCCTTGTTTTCAAAAATGACAGGGACACAATAGCCATTTCTACGAATAAAGTGTATCTATATTTTTTTTTTATTTTTTTTTTGGTGTGTTACATACTTATGATCCATACTACACTATACTTTATACATACTACACAATTTCACAAGAATCTTCACCGCAAGAAATAAAAAAAGAAACAAAAACAACAATAACAACCGCTTTTTACATTTCTATGTCGTTTATGCATTATATGCATTGTATATATCACGATATTTTACTATATTTTTTCGTATTAGGACATAGTCAGGACCTCGCTGCCGCATGAAATCGAACGCAAAAACGTTGATACGACCTTGTCAAATAACTTTTGCTTTTAGATTTTTTTTTTAACGTCTAATATACGCTTATTTATAATTGTAGGTAGGGCTATTACAGTTGTGTATAATAGTTGAGCTGTATAACAACGAGTTAAAGAGATTATGTGTCAGGTTTAACTAACTTTTGCGGGAATAATCTGCCAGCATTTTTTTTTTTTTTTTTAATACGAAAAATTTACAAGACTTTCTAGTTCTCTAAGCCAATAATAAAAACATTTTTCGTTCACACATTCTATTCACCGCACATATATTTCTCTTTACTATAATTATACCACCGATCAGCGATGTTCATAAAACGTGTGATAGTAAACTGCGGCAAAATTAACCATTTTCTATAATTCGATGTGTAAACTGCAGCAAGAAAATATGTAGCATTATACAATCTGCGACAAAACCGATAAGATACATTATACAAGCTGCGGCAATTAATTTTATATACCTACGATATTACATGTTATATAGTATGTAATATGCACCTATATGTACCTACTCGTATGTACGTATATTGTTTAATTAATTATGTTATGTTGCGTTTTGCGTACAAAATGATAAAGTAAATCCAATTATATTTTTAAGTTTTAACGAAACATACTAAATATCGATTCCTATACTTATGATAATGCTAATTAGTAATTACTTACTAGTGTTAGAAGTCAGAAGAAGTAGTTAAAATTTAATATTTAATTCAACGAGATGGAATTTACAAGAATGTTTAGCCAAAATGGAAAACAATTTTAAATTCAAATTTAAATATGAATTAAAAATAAGTGGTAATAAAACATGGAAACACGCAAGACGCAACATAACATAATTAATTAATAGATTACGTACATAGGTACATGTATATGTACATATTACATATTATATAGTACCTATATAATATCGTAGGTATATAAAATTAATTGCCGCAGCTTGTTAAATGTATCTTATTGATTTTGTCGCAGATTGTAAAATGTTACATTTTTTCTTGCCGCAGTTTACGTATCGACTTTTAGAAAAAGGTTGATTTTACCGCAGTTTACATAGAGCTCATAAAAAAACAACACGATTTAGTAGAATACGTGTTAATTCACGCTAATAGATTTTCACAGGTATCAATCCGAACGCTCAATAGTAGATACAATTAATCATGGTAAGTAATGATACTTTAAATATTTTAAACCGATGATCAGGCCTAACTTTCCCAATGCCCTGTGGTTTCGATTTCGTTTGATATACATCATGAATGTATATGGATAGTATGCACTGTTGTTAGCATATTCGAAAACTTATTCGATTTAATTTCAATAACAATGTACGAGATAATAATAATAAAAATAATTCCATATATACACATATGTACATATATTGCGCTCTAAAATACAAAAGTCGCATTATATGGGCGGGATCATACATATTTAACGGTTCATTCCGTCCATTGGAACATATAATGTTTCAAAGCACGATAACGTCGATTTTTTCCATTTTATACTTTTACGTTCCCTTAGTATATGCGTTTGTTACATTTACGACTATCTTTGGTTTAACTATTTACAGGCGTTTTCCGCAAGAAAATCGTGTCCGCCTCCGCGGTTTACACCCTTCTAACGGGCGTGGTGTGCGGGTACTTAACCGTAAGAGTGATTAAGGCGCGTTTCCAGCTTCCGCCGCCCGTCCCAATGTCCGACTTCAATTGCCTACTGATGGGGTTCAGCTACATCACGTTCTTCTCTCCATCACTCGTCGTGCCGATACTCATGTGGTTCGAGACAAGCAAACTCCAGGCGTACCTGCACGAATGGCAGGTTTTCCAAGTAAGCCAGTCGTCTTACATCTGCTGTGTACATAAAAAGAGCCATGATTCATCGTTCGTGAAACAGCTGGCGGAAAATTTAACTCTCCATCGCAATATAATCTCTTTGGACTACATTAAATTTATAATACAACATACGTACACCTAATTGTGGACAAAATACCGAAAATTTCTCTAACCTATGTACGCATATAATTCCATAAACATAATGATTGACTAATGAATAAGCACCCTAAACCATATTATAATATACCTATTTTAGTAAAATAGTTACTCTCATTTTGACATTTATTAATTTATAAAATCGGCGCTCTGTGGAAATAATTTCTACGCACACATTACTGGACCGTCGTTTACATAAACCATCAATCTAGAATGTATCCCGATTTTTTACGACTGTATACAGACAATAAGATAGTAATATATTATACATCTTGCATTTTTCGAACCGTCGATTTTCCTTTAAAAACGTTGTCGAGCCAAAAAAAACCCTTTTCCGTGCACCACGTTTACGTAAGATTTTAATATTATTAAAGGTAAATTGCAAGGATTTTAATCGGTTTTTAATTTTATGTACAAGAAAAACCGAATATGACTTCTGGTAATCGACGAGTTTGCACGGTGTAGCACTTACAAATACGGACTTAAATTATCGACTAATTCCGCAGCGGCAAAATTGATTTTGCATAAAATTAAAAATATATTTTCTCTTTATTTGACTTTAACACTATGGTTTTTTTCTCCAAAGTTTGTTCCAAATAATACGGAACGTCTTGTACATGTACTCGCTGTACACATGGATCAAATGACTGCCAGCTGGTTCAGTGGTACACACACACAAACGATATACATACAAACATGTTATGGTTAATCCAAAGTTAGTTCGGTCAAATTTAATATGTTTGTTATGAAAATTATAGGAAAACGTGTTTTGAAGAATTTGTATTTTTCATAATTGATTTTACTTATAACCAACGTGAGCATAGATGAAAAAGCTATCTGCCTGTTTTAATTTTTTAATTCTTCTAATTTTACATTATTTTACCGGTACATAATAAATACTTTGACCAAATCGTGTATAGTAAACGTGCATACGTTGAATGTAGTATAAATAAATAGGTTAGTTTAAAGGGAGATGGTAAGTTCCCGCACGAAGCATACAAATAAACGATTACCTATGTAAGTTCCGACACGAAAAATAATATACTGATACATAAATTCCAACACGAATAAAAATACACCGGTACGTAAGTTCCTATACGAACAAAAGTACAGCAATATGTAAATGGAGATGCTGTTTCCATTTGGACCAAGCTTGGTATCGTAAAATTCAACGCTTAGATTTAGCAAAAGAATTTAATAACACAAATCATAACCTAGGAAAGTGGCTACTACATGTATTTGGCTTACCATTTATTTATTAATCTAACAGGAGTTGGAGAGTGTTTTGTTGATAGTTTCATGAGTGTAAAACCCGATAATAATGTAATAAACGAATTTTGCGAATATTTAGTGACAAATTACATACGCGAAAATAGTACGTTCCTCCCTAATATTTGGGCTATTGCTAGTTCTTGTAGAAGTTTTTCATCAAATGCTTGTAAAAGTTTTCTCTTAGAATTCAACTCAAATTTTTATCATCATCATCCTAATTTATTCAAAATAATAAAAGTTTTAAAAATACTTCAAATAAATACATATATCAAAATAAGAACATCAGATACCAAAAATACCTCAAAAAATAAACAAAATAAATCGAAAAAAAAACAAAATCATATAAACAACATAATATTAGAATACAACTTAAATCAAATAACACAGTATGATTAAGTTAAAAGTTTGAGTTTTTATAATAAGCCACATAAAATTTTATCTATATTATTATTATCATCATCATATCGAATACGTATAACACGTGGATGACTACATTATTATATAAGTATATGGACAGGATTCAATTAAAAATTGATTATATTTTTTGTACGGAACACAAAACAAATTTAAACCATACCAACTACGTTGTCAGTCCTAAGTCTGAATAAAACGGGAAGAAAATTTATATTCCTTATAAATTATATTCGTGTAAGAACATACGAACCGGTATATTTTTTTCATGTAGGAACTTACGTAGACAAATCCAAGGGTGATTTCTGCTTGCTATATCTCATGTGGGACCATTCGTCTACTTTAAATGGTTTTGGTAGATCGTGTACCATGTCTGCCGTAAATGTATACAAATATTTTCTAAATTAATTTGATTGACATTTTCACTAAGTAGAAATTTTAATTTTCAATTTATTTCAATAAAGGAAAAAATTAATAACTGTACTCTTATAATTTACCACAGTGTTTTTATGATTTTAATGATCGATAAAAATATTTTTCTAAGCACTAGTACATTCTATGCAATGTTTTGGAGTGTTGTACTATAATCTGGGAACTACAGCAAGTATTTTTTACCGGCTTTACATTTCATCGATGAACTGTACCACAAAAGTACTTAATTACTTACCAACTTTACCGTGAGTCTCTTATTGCTGATAATTCAAAGCGGCTTAAGCGTGTTCAACGCCGATTTTTTTTACTTTGCTAGCTTTATACTAAAAATTCCTTGTTTATAAACAAGGAACTTAACTAAACGTTGATTGCTACTAAGTCTGTCTTTCTTAGTTGAGTGTTGATGTATTGCTGGTATTCATTTCCTTTTAGGAATTAAACAATAACATCGATTCTGCTTTCTCTAATCTGTTTTAAAATTCTATCTTCATTTTTCATGTTAATTTTGTTCCAGTGCTTTTTTTTTATGTCGCGCATGTTGTATGTCCGACACCACCAACTATATAGTTAATAAACGTTTAAGGCGTCTTACGTATATCAATTACCAATGTAGATCTTGTCTTTAATGATTTGTTATCACAAAATGCTATATAAAATGGGCTCAGCCCCAAATAATTATAATATATAAATATTTTCAAATCAAAACTAAATAAATAGTATAAATATTAAATAAATATTAAAATATGAAACTTATGAACTATATATTGTCTTATCTAATATGTTACAATAATATTATTTTAAAAGTTGGTGTATTAAATTATAATACTCATTGAACTAAATAAAAATCTGAATATTAACACAATATTACATTTTATATAAATATACTCAAATATTTACTTTCATGGATTTAATTTAAATTTTCTATAACTTTTGTATTAACACTATTTATTTAGAGCAATCAATTGTAAAATATTGTTATTATTCTTTTACGTTTATTTGAAAATGAACCATAGTGACGCATATTGTTCGATCATTATTTTTTACATAATCATATATTTTTTATCTCTTCATTTTTCGTAATAAAATACTTCCCTCTTTTTTTTCCAGTTTAACTGAGATATCGGGAAGGATTTGTTTTTCACATTTCTGCCTCCAGGCTTCTCATCGTTTATTTAATATTTAATACATCATCGTTGGGATGACAGATGGGACATGTCCCATCTAGTCATCTCTCACATACAGAAGTGTAGATTATTTAGGTATCCACGTTTTTAAATACTCCTTATTGGTGCTGCCGCTCTGTTAAATGGTAGCTATGCCTAGCTATGCCTCTTCCGGTCCCAGCAAGATGTTTGGTGTATTCTTCGAATATCCAATTAAACCCTTTGCGCTACTTTTCGTAGACCAACACATTGAAAACAGTAAAACAAAGTATGCTCTGCCATATCGTCAATTCATCCACAGTGTAAACACCCGGGATGATCGGCCGTCTCCCTCTTTAACAAGTAGCTCTGAAAATGCCCGAGACCTGTGAACGCTTGTGACATGTTGAATTCCATCACCTTTTATTTGGATGCCATTATCCACAGTCTGGTGTTAAGAATTCGCTTTTTTATCCACTGGGCCTTGTTGGTTTCAACTCACAATTCATTTTTCTAGTGTAACTTTGTGTTCCTGCCTCTTGATAATGATTATGTTGCCTTTATTGCGCTGTATCTCTTTAACTCGTGCTCGTCCCATGGTTAGTAGATGAGCCAAAGACATCTTCGCCAGGATTAGGGTCGCCTTGTCAGAGACCGTTCTATAACACCTGGTAACACGCAAGACTGCACGCAGCTGTATTTGAGGGTATGTATTGTGGCTCTTCTCCATTCCCTCTACCACTAAGGCCCATACTGACGCCCCGTATAGAAATTTGCTATTGATGACTGACATTAGGGGTTGTCTCTTGGTATACAATGAACCACCAATGTTTGCTATCAGTCTGCCGACCACCACCACCGTCCTGTGAGCACTCGCCGGTGACTTGTTCACGTGGTCCTGGAACGTCTGATGCATATCCAATTAAATACCCACCTACCTGATGAATTTTCTAACTGAGATGACATGGTCATCTAAACGCAGAACCGGATTCTGGCTGGCCCGTTTGTGTGTCAGCATTATTGCTTCAGATTTGTGGACCAGCTGCAATACATTCTCATCATCCATTCGCTCACTTACTACAAGGAAACATTAGCCACCTCCTCCGGTAGTTCAGTGTTGTGAGCCGTTACTACAAATGCTACATCATTAGCATAACCAATATTAATATTGATGCTTCTAGACATCCGCAAGTAGGGAAAACTGTCGTAGAATATGTTCCAGAGCATTGGGCTGATAACTCATCCTTATGACACTATACAAATAAGCTCAAGAGTTGTCGGACCAGTGGAACTTTCGGCTATTAGCTTCCTGTCAGCCATGTAGGAGCGTAGCAATTGAACAATGTTTTGCGGGAACTCCAGTCTCCATAGGGGAGTGTTGATCATCAATCGTGAAACTAAGTTCAAAGCATTCTTTACATCTAATGTGGTGACTATGCAAAGATATCTGTGTTGGGATGGACCCGTTGCTGCGAACGTCGCATAGCTCACCACCTGTTTAACTACATTGCAGGTGGATTTACCTTTACGAAATTGAAACTGAGGAATGCTTAGTACATTGACCTTGTCCAAGTGACTGTGGATTCTCTTCAATAGCGATCTTTCTAGAATCTCTGATCCTACACCATTCAGCAGAGGTCGTGGCCTTTAACTAAAAGGTTCCATTATCGGTTTGTCTTTATCTTAATGAAGCAGGACAAGGTTAGCCGTTTCCTATTTTAAAGGAAAAATCCCCAATGGGATTCCTAGATACCTATTGAACAAGCCCAGCTGGATAACCGTCCTAACCCACAGACCATGAGCAGGATATTACCTCGTTTGGCACCATGTCGGGATCTGGAACCTTATTTCCGAGTAACCGAAAAGCTTCCCTAGAAAATTCGTTCACTGTAATGTCTGCTTTCTGTACCATACTTGAGTGGTACTCTATGGATGATTAATAAATACTTAAAATGTACGGAAAGTAAATACGTACTCTGGGTTCTTCACGCCCTGCAGGTATAAACGAACATCACCCGATTTTCGTCGTTACGACTCTGTTTGAAAACTCCCATGGGTCGCTTTCGATAGTCTCACATAGCTTGCTCCATAAGTCTCCCTCTGCTTTTCAGATAGCAAGTATAAGCCCCTTGCTGGTATACACTAATACTAGCAGTTTCTCGTCACTGTACACTGGACCCGCTATGTGTCCTGCCCACTGGTATTACTTGCGAGCAATAAAACTAATCTTATGGATTTTCACGATTTCAAGACTCCATCAATGCACAAATTACATAACTACCCAGCTTTAGATCGATTCTGTTGTAGGCCTTAATGTCGAAACTACTTTGCGTGTGATGTGACCTTTTATGTATAACATATAATCTAAATATGTATATACGATTATTCTAGGAGTTGATCTCAGTTACGTCCTATAAATTCTAAAGTCTTATATTCAAAAAAAAATTAAAATAAAGTATCGAAAAATTGGGCATATAAAAGTTACCAACCATAGTGCTTACTTATTAGACTTTATAATACTTTGTTATGTAATAATATAGTGTATATTTTAATATGTTTATAACTAATTTTTTGACTTTCCTGACGTTCCTCGTCAAAAAATGACACATTTATAGTTTTATTTCGTCTACTGTATTAGTTTATGACAATATTTTAAGTAAATACAGAGTATTATATGTAATGCAGGAATGTACAACGTAACATATTGAGTTTTTCTTCAGCATAACGGTTAGAATCATAAAAATAGTAACAAATTAAATAGATCAATACCTAATACTAATTTCAAGCCTAACTACGAGGCTTTTCAACTTCCAATTGAATAAAACAGAATAAAACTCTTTTTTTTTCGATCTAAAATATAATATCAATAATACAAATAAAAAATAAATACTCTTGTGAGATATTTATTTTTATTTTTTTAACGTTAAAACTTAATATTTCTCGAAATGTACAGGTTTGATTTTCATACAAAATATTCAGTGAACAAGGGATATTATTATTGTTATATTTTAGAATGCCATTAATGAATTGAAAATGGAGAATGAATAACACAAAATATAATATTCTATATAGGTATTAAATATCACGACTTTTTAAGATAAAAAAATACTAAAAACACTTGTTAAAACGAACAGAACGTTCTGTAACGCTATTTTAATTATACTATAATTATTTTGTTTCAAATCAGAAACATAAACGTATATTATACGTACAATATACGTACGTAAAACAGATTTTTGTTCTTTGTCTCCCGTTTTATTTGAACCCAACAATACTCGCATGTAAACATATTATGTACATAATATTACATATTAAAAAAAAAATACAATACATAAGTAGTTAATTTTTTTTGTGGTCTTTTTTTGTTTCTTGAAAATTACAACGGGTAAAAACACAAATTTAATAATTAATAATATTCTGTAGTTAAACGCACGTCAAAATAATATTATTATATATTATTTGATCGAAAACGCATTGTCCGGTGTGCACATTATAATACAACAACATAATATACAACAATATTTGTTATGCAGTAAAACGATGTTTGACTTAAAACATCCGCCGAATTTCGATATAATATATACTATATTTAGAACGCACGCAAAACGTCATTAATTTAAAAACTATACACAATTATTAAATTCACGCGCACGTACGTATTATTATAATAAATTCATGATTTATAGCTAAAAAAATATATTTTTGTAAATAATACCCCATATTTGAATACATCTTAACGCTGACTGCACATTATAATATAATTTACTCAGAATGGCAGTACTCGTATGTAATTCATAACAATACGTTTTTCGAGGAATTCGAATGAACAGATAGAAATCCGCGTAGTTATAACACTGCCGTTAGACGTATATAATCACGTAGGTATAGAAGTTTGGTGAGCTGTGATCCGAGTTTTACAATGTATCCCGATTTTAGAGGAAATATGAGGGGCGAATGTCGTATGTAGAATTCGAAAAAACTCCTTTATATTCATGTGAACGTTAATACAATAGCTTAACAAGGGTATGGTGAACTGTGCCTACGCCAGGGCCACGAATTGCGAAAGGGTGGCAAATTGTGCAAAAGTCGCACTTTTATCCTACAATCAAATCGAAATTTTTTCATTGTACTCTTTGAAATACGTAGATGTTGTATATTTGTACACATTGCGTGTGAATTTAATGATGAAATTATGAAAATAGCACAAGGACATTTAAATAAAAAATTTCATACGAAAAAATTATCGATGAATTTGCTAATCATAAAACGAAAATTATAAATTTTCAAAGTTTAAAATTAACACTGTAATGACTTATAAAGTATAAATTTTTTTTAGTATAAATTGTATGGTTAAAAATATTAGTAAAATTAAAGGCTAAAAAAATATCGTGATGTAAAATTTTAATTGTTTAAAAATCGTATTTTTCTAAGTTTGACAGGGGCGCTGGCCAGTCTACCTATTAATATACATCTATATATCTATTAATTTGTTAATTTTTTCCAGGAAAATTACAATAGAGTGATCGGTAGGTCGGATGAGGCCGTGACGCTAGTCGAGAGAAGAGTGAACGGGATCTTCCGATCGATATTAGCGTTGCTATCGATCGTGGGGGTCACGTTCGCGTGGACTTCAGCCTTAAACGACGTGCCCGCGTTAGTGTGCGCAATGAAGAGCATCTCGACAGTAGCTCTAATCACGGGATTCTGGTCGGTCGGTACAAAAGCGATAGCCATAATCAACGAGAACTACAGGAAAAAATTGCAAATGGTAGGTACTAGAGAACATGTGATATTGTAATATTATAATTTAAATGATATTATAATTTATCGTTAAATGTGACGATGACCGCGCGTGTAACGTAATATTATGATGGAAAGTGGACGATGACAGAACGGCCAATTGAATAATAATTATTATTATTTTAGTCGATCAGATGCAATATCTGTTCAGTGGAACTGCGTAGGCAGTCAGAGGGGTTTTGAATCGATCCGACCTGGGCAGATTAAATAAAACCACCCTCGTCGAACCTCTAGAAAATCGTTTTCATTTCATTCGGTGTACTTCATAACTCTGCTTAAACGTTAAAATGTTCACGTTCAACCGTGAAAATATTAATCATTCGTTTAATAGATTTACAGGCGAAACCTTCATTTGAAATATTTTATATTATTTATTATGTGCATAAATCAATTGATTTGCCAAATTGTAATCTAACTGAGTAAATTTCGCAAAAAAACAAAAAAAAAAAAAAATGCAAGCCATGATAGAAAGTTAACCTACCCTCCGTGTGTAGAGCAAAATATAATAACTGCGCTCTCGACGTGGTAAAAATAATCGCATTCAATAATAGGTGCTGCGCGTAAAGCGGTATCGCTCTAGGGTTCACTATTCATGTAGTTCTTCGTGGCGAGGTAATTTCGAATATTCAATTAAACCTCGGTTTCTGGCGAGACCTTATTGCGAGGCACCACCCTGTACATACCCGCTGAACGTGTAGTGTTAATATTTCGTCACACATTTAAGTACCCCGGCCCCCCTGCATTACGTGCAGAGTGCAAACACATCAGATGTATGTGTATACACACATAATTATAAGTGGTAGGTCTTTGTGCATTATGTATGATAATGTAACATGTATTATAGATATTACTATTATTTCATTCGAACACCTATTCTCTACAGCAATGACCTATTACAGTGGTACAAAGACGCGTTGCCAACGCATTAAATTGTTATTACATTCTCTTCGAGCATATAATACATTCAGTACACGCAAATTAAGGACAAATCGTTCACAGATGTACTGTAATATATGTGCGTACCTACGCTTGTTCTTCTTGTGTACGTTATACATTTGTATATCATGTGGTAGTTTCGCGGTACAGCCAAAACATATGATGTACAATATTGTATAAATGTACGTTCGTTTTTAATTATAAAAAAAAAAAACCATAATAATCAAAAAAGAAAGATAGAATACATAGAGGCGGATGAAAAGAAAACAGTTGTCGTGATTTGATCAATACGCGCACGTCGTTGTATTGTGAGTTATTACTACGTGTTACAAGGGACTACGGATATTAGTGCCAAATAACTAACGGTGACATTTACGGAAATCGTCGTGTTACAAACCGGACTTAAGTAAAAACGAAAGAAAAACGCGTTCGTGTAGGTAACCAAATCCGATGAATTAGTCGCCAGGTTAATTGATCGCCATGTAAAAACTTTTTTTAATCATTACAATTCATGTAGATATCATGTTTATATATTTTATTTTAATTCGTTTTCGGTCATGTTTTCGAGTTCAACTCGAATAAAATTTAAACCGTTTTGAATGAAACCCGACACTCAAAATTTCCAGGCACGTTTTTACCCCCTATTTGAAATTCCAAATATATCTGTTAATGTTAAACATACCTACAGCAACAATTTAATACCGATATAATAATACTCGAAGGGTAACGATTGTTGAAACATCAAACTGAATCTGTTTTCTTTTCAATTATTCTTAATATGAATAGGTTCGATCAAAAATAGTATTTATTTTTTTCGTTAACTAAACAAATTGCAACAAGGCCTGTTAGGCCAGATCAATTCTTCAGGAGGGACAAATCGAGTTGTAAGAGGGGTTAATAGGAAAAACCAATATTATAACTAATTTTATTTTATTTTTACAAATTAATTACAATGTTTTAAATTTTTGATAAAATAATAATGCTAGTACCTAGTACTATTTAGTAGCAAAGTCCCTTTGCCTCCTCCTCTCGTGGCTACGGGCCTCAGCCGGGAGACTTATTAAAATCTCCTTTGTAAAATATTCGTCTCCTACCCGCCACTTGACCGTAAATACGTTTGCACCATAATAAAGGTACTTTTGTTTGCGTCACAATAGGGCCGCGATGTAAAATGACCACAAGTTATCAAACGGTGTCACATATACATACACGGTTTACCCTAATTTTGTTCGAAACGCTTACGCGACAGTTTTCGCACAATACACCTAATTCAAATAGTCCGTCACCTGGATCTACGGAAATCGCGTAAAATTCACTGATTTTAAATTTTATTTCCCACGGATTCACACATCGAATATAATATACGAGTACACCGCGAAGGCGCTGACTACAGCCGAATGTTCTGTACCAACAAATGTTGCGCGAGTGCGACGTTCCGCTAATACTTCCGGGACATCGGAGTACAATTTTTTCGTCGGAAGACATCATACAATACGTACGGTGGACAATAAATATGCAATGACTAACTTATATAGGTTTCAAAAATATTAATTTTATTTCCGTTTACTGCCATTATACTATTTTGCTTTTCGATTGCACAGTACGGATACAACATAATGTAACGCATAAAACATCTGCCTCTGTCGTTCAACTAAAACCCGTTATTACAATATCATCGGACCCGTGCAACCATATTTAAGGAGGCGACGGAGATGTCGTAACCTACCCTTCGTGCATGCTCGGAAGTTTTTATTTTCTTGTTTTTCTTAATTATTCTGCAATAACGTAATGTCGCGTGTCTCTTTTAATATCGATTTAAAATTATATCTTAATGATGGATAAAAAAAAAAAAAAAAAGCATTGCAGAATATGAGGTGTCTCTTTTTTTTGCGTATAATATTATAATCAATACGTACACGCGTCTAGTGCGTTTTTACCACTCTACTGGCAAATATATCATAACACCTCTCAAGAAATATTTTCAAATACATCACATGATGCTGAACGAAACTGAACTATGAATGTGTCATCGTCCTCAGTCCACGAACGTGTGCGCAGAGAGTTAACCACCACCTCCCTATGTAATTTTTAGCATCATACCGCGGAAATGTTGTAAAGATACTACGTCAAACGTTTCATAGTTTTTTGCTTATAAATGTACGTTTTGGGATTTTGAAAATCAATCGCATAAATAAGTACATTTTCAAACGATCAATACCGATAAAACGTGGCCGTATAACAAACCACGTCAAATTTCAACCATGACGACTGTAAGAAGTATTGAAAACCCATTCACCACGTCGACAAATCTATGTTTAATAATTGGGAAGGTAAATTACTGTTAGTGCCTACAGCCGTAAAAAATTTAAATCTGCCTCCGGACATGTAGCCACGAACCTCTTTCTAAAATTCCAACTGGACCGGAGATTCACTTACAGCTTATATGATTGCAATGAAAAAATAAATTTCACGATTTTTCACATTCCCGCGTATTTGTATCTACATAAACACGTTTTCTCAAAAACTACAATAATACAGATTTACTTGATTTAATTCTTTAACCGTCTGCTTGTTACGTGTCCGTAGCACAGCTCTTACAACTGCCCAACAGTCTCGTATGCCTACGCATAGTTTTCGCTTTGAACACGATCTCCGATGTCCCTGGCGGCATTGACCCGTAGACCGCCTACGATTGGGGACCGCCGGAGTTGTCCGGTATCGTTTTAGTTCGGTGTGGATTTCCGGCTGCAGGCACTGAAATCGGCCGGAAAAAGTGTTCGGGCGCCGAAACTCCGGGAGGATCGAAACGTCGAGGGGCGCGATGGGGGGGGGGGGGGAGGAGGGGGGGGAGGGCGGTGGTTAGCGCGGTGGAACCGTACCCCTGCGCGCGCGCCACTGATGTTGCCGACGTGTGTCGATCGATCCAGGAAACCGGTGCACTGCACGCCCATCAGATCGAGGACTACCGGCTGCTGTGGATACGGACGAGCGGACTGGTGCGGGAGTCCGGCGATCACATGCCGGCCACGATGACGTTTTGCGTGCTGTACACCGCCGCGGCCGTCACGCTGTCCGTGTACGTGCTGGCCGTGTGGGGCGTGACGCTCGTCGCCCTGGCCCGTTACGAGGAGCTGGCGCTGGTCGGCGCGGTGCTCGTCGGCAACGCCGCGTCGCTGTACGTCTACTGCGACTGCGGCCACAGCCGGTCCGGCAATGTCGGTACACCCCGTGCACGTATGCCCGTACCGTGCTTGTACCGTTGGTAATATGGAACCGGACGTGTTTAATGCACGTATCGCATCACGTGCTGCGATCGGCACGGGTCGACGTATTGTTTTTCGAGGGTCGCGCGTCGTCGATCCGGTAAACTCTCGTGGCCCGCAAAAACCTTAGGGGCGACATCCGAGAATGTCATATCCGTTGCACAGGTGTAGCGCGCACTGTTGCGACAACGCCGATCGGCCGAAGCTGAACCGTGCGCGTTCCCGTTGTCAACCGAAATAACGAAAATCCAAATTCAACGCAGGGGCGTATTAAGACTTACTTCCCCGGGGAGGGGGGGGGGCTCGAATTTTTTTTTTTCCCCCCCTTAAATTCGGGCTCGAAACGTGCGGGTTAAATTTTTGGTGATATTCAAATCGGGTGGACCCTTAATAATACGTGGTTTTTCTTTTTCAATCTAATCCCCGGATCCGTTTAGAATCGACTTTTGTGTAGTTCTTTTTTAACACCTGTCTGCGTTTTGAAAGTTACGCTTGTGTTCTATTTGATTTTTCACCAGGTATGGACCCGACGAAAAGCCCGATTCAGTATTCACAGCGACGTGTAATTTAATTTCGTTGTAAAATGATCCGCATCAAAAAAAATTTGTTAATGTGTGTATCTCACATATAATCAACTCCTTAAATACGGATTTAGGGGAGGCGATCGCCCCTTCACCCCCTCCCTAAAATACGCCAATGATTCAACGGTAAAAGAAAACAAAAACCGATTATGTACAGGCAATTTGTTTATTAGAACATGGCTATCGGCTTTTCCTTCCAACGCGGCGAGCCTATTAAAATAATTGATTCGCTAATCTGTGACACTTGTGCTATAATACATAGATTATTACTTGCACCCCCTGGATTTAAAAGAAAAAGAACAAAATTTAAAATTATAAGATAGAGGATATTATTATCATTATTGGATATCCCAATATTCTTCATTACTTTGTAGCCGTCGAAAAAAACGAAAATAATTTTGTACTGTCGTACAACTCGAAAACGTATTTAACTTAAATAATTGAAGTATTATTTATAAATCTACGTATATACTATATGCATGATGCACCCCTTCCCTGACGAAATTCCTGGCGGCGACTATGCCTATGTAATCAATGGTACTCGTATATGCAAAATAAGTTGTTGTTCATTATTTAATAATATTTACCGTTGAATGCATGGTTAATATGGCGGTATGGCAGGCACGTAAATAGGTGCTTATTTGAGAGACGGAGAGATTAACCTCGTTCAAAATAATGTCCAATAAAGCAAATATAACGTACAGTGGCGTAGCCAGGATTTTTAAATGGGGGGGGGGCTAACCAATTTTTTTGGATAAGTAAGGTAAGAGAGGATATGAGAATTCACTCTTAACCCCCTCCCACCATCTACCACCAAGTTTCTAAACTTAATTCGAGCATTTTAGTATAGTTTTAAAAATATTTATTAATATATAATTTATAATAATAATAATAATTTTGGTTTTAGTGTTCAGTCACTTGCTCCATTCTGACAGCTGCATCCTTTTAGGCGAATTTCTGGCAAATTCAGTTATTATTTCACTTTCATCGAATTGCTCTTTTTTTATTTATATAAGCCATAGCTAACCCATTCAGTCTGTTTTTCGATATAGTGCTTCTTAAAAAAAATTTTAAGCGATTAAGTGCTGAAAACGTTCTTTCCGGAGTGAAAGAGGTAACTGGTAACGTGGCGAATAATTGTAAAAGTATTTTAATGTTAGGTCGAAGATTGGTGCGATGAGAGAGTGAATCAAGAGCAGAATTCGGTTTTGGAATAGTATTTTGACTCTATTGTTGCCTCCGTATGAACAGGTCAGCTCTGATTGTAGATGAAGTATCATCAAGGAAATCTTGGACATATATTTTAGCAGCTTTTATAATATTTTTATCGTCATACATATTTAAATTGGCCGGAATAAGTCCTTCAAGTGGCATAACATCAATAAGCCTTTGATTAAAACGAGCATCCATTGATTCTATTAAATAGTCAAGATACATAATACATATAAACACGGCCTATGGGGGGGGCTATAGCCCCCCTTAGCCCCCCCCCCCTTGGTTACGCCACTAATAACGTATATCTTAATTGACGGAAACTATAATACGATCTTTAAGAAATGGGTGATTGCTCCAGCCCCCATCAATTAAGTGCCTGCCACATGGCTTCAGGTTGTTCTGATTATGGTATGATAAACTACGTTATTTTTACCGACCAATATCTTCCTGCTCTTGTTTTTCCTACTCTAGTACTAATAATAATATATACCGTACATAACAATAGTAGATAACGTATAAATATATATATATATATATAGTATAATACATCGAACAACGGTGGCGTTTTGATATTGTAATCGAGAACGTTTTAGGAGAGTGAGAGGGAGATTTAAAAATAATTTTTCATAGAAAAATCGTGGGGACTTAGTTCTTAGTTGGTATAGTCAATATATTATACATATATTTTAATAATTAACGAAAGACAGTTCGTTCAAATTTATTTTATATTTTACAGTGAAATATTTTTTACTTCGTTCTTAAATAAAAACGAATCATTTAAAAGTGACAATAAAATTAAAACTTCCTTAACTTCCTTTTTTTAACAAACTATTCAAAATATTAATTAGGTGAGAGAATAGATACAAAAATAGGCGCATAACATAATTTTTTAATAAATTTTATCCAAATATTTTGAAATTAGTTTAATGAAACGTTGTATAATTGGGATGTCAAATGTAAAGTTAATAAGTGAACATAGTTTGTATCTTGCACGTTTCTATAACATTTAATTCTGAGTCCTAATAGCCTTTCAATTTATATTAGATTTAAATAGTAATACATCAGGTCCAGACATCTTAATTGTTAATATTGTTCCAGTAAGTTTTCTTTTTCTAGTCCCCATTCTTCGTACCAAAAATATGAACAACTAAACCATTTACCGTTTTTTTTTTTTTTTTTAAGTTTATCAAAAGTTTTTATTTAGTATGTGTCTATAACCAACATATTACCGGTACTCGTACAGTTAAACATTATTTTTATAATATATTACACGTGCGAGTTCATCCTATATTAAGATGGAAATATTTTTGTTTTCATGACATGTTTCATCCTTCACCGCAGTGCGTCGATAACGTGGTTTTCCTGATTCTGAAAATGAAATCGTCAATGACATGGCAGAAGTCCAACTACATACAAGTAGGTACACCCGTACCGTATACATTGTTTCACGGTCCAAGGTGAATTCACGCACGCGATCCTCCCGTTTGTTGCCATTAACCAACTCATGTACAGCCGGTACACCAGGAAAAGGTGGCATAAGAAAATATGTGTGTGGGTTTGTTCCCGGTTACAGTATTCCGCTATAGTATACAATACGCGTACTACCACTGTAGGGTGAAAATCGTTCGTTAGTACGCACAGCATCAAACGTCAATATAGCTAATCTACCCACACGCAATGTGAACGGTGCACGTTTTATTTTCAATTTTCGTACAATATACCTGTGCGCGAGGTCATATAAAAAAAAATTATATTTTATTTAATTATTATACTATATTAAATATTTTATATTAATTATATTTTCTAGCTAGAAATAGAAAACGATTTTTTTTTTTTTTTAGGAGTGAGTTTAGAGTATAAATATATTTTTTGACAAGCAAATTTTTAAATCTCAAATGTGATAAGCATTTAAAATCATTCAATTTTATTTTAAGAAATAATTAAGAGGGAGGAGTCACTGAACCTAAAACTCCCATTGGCTACAACATTTCCTACGCGACGCATTTAGAGACAAACCAATTATGTGTTCCGCAAAATAAACACACATTACATAATTATTATAATGTCATCGAGAACATATTACAATCAATGGTAATATGTAGGTCAACTGTGATATCCTAATCGAAATTTCTCCGTAGATATCAATTTAATAGTTAGTTTAATAGAAAAAAAATCACGTCAATAACTTATAATCAAATTAGTATTTTCATTTTTTAACCGACTTGGAAAAGTAACTTTTGGGATTATTATTTCTATAAAATTACTCAACAACCATTTTTAGATAAAGTTGTTATGAAAAGTACCGCAACTGAAAAACGAAAAATTGTTATTAATTGTAATAATTGTTAATTATAATTATATGGACTATTATAATAAATTAGATATCAATTTATCCTAGTCAGTGGCGTAGCTAGGATTTTCTGAAGAGGGGTGTTAATTATAATTATTAAATATTATATATAATACGTACGAACTAAAACTTTTATTTTAATTAATTAATATGTTTACATAATGTCTGTAATAGAAATGTTATGTATTTTCGAATTCGGATAGCTTTACCATAAATTATTCGAATATTTGACTATTCGAATATCAGTATTCGATGCTACAATACCTATTATTATTAAACGTTTTGTGTTGCACGAAAACGTAAACGAATAATTTTCGTCACGTATTGTCGCAATCACGATAATGTTAACCTGTATATATGTAATTAGTATTGTCCATTATTTTATATTTCATATTGTATTATCGATTTACCTATATTCCTATAATAATGTAATATATGATACGACTCAAGGGGGGTGTCATATCTACCAAACCCCCCCCCCTTGTATACGCCACTGATCCTAGTTGGTTAAGAGAAGTAAATACAAATTTGGCAATAAGTATTCAATTTTTTTTATTATATATCTTTTAACTATACTAGAATTAAAAATGTGAAAAAAAAATTTAATATTTACTGTGACATTTCCATAGCAATATCACACTGAGCCATGCTGCATTTATTGCACATTATATAATATGTGCACCTTCACAATGTGGTACGTAATCACACTCTAAAATATATGAAGGTATAAAAAAAATTGTAATTTTAGCCCAATATTATTATATTATTTGATAATAAAAATACGAAGTGCCTCTGATGAATATAAATTTACACATTCCCATCTTTAATTTTAATACGTTGCGTGTATATTCACTGCTCTAGTATTCGAAAATAAAAGTAAATTAATTAATTTAATAGATAACGCTATTTTTGAATGCCGTAAATCAATATCCACCGAAAGTGAACGTGCTCGGATTCTATGAAATCAATCGAGGATTATTTGGCTCGGTAAATCCAATAAAAAATCAAGCTTTTTTAATAACAATAAAAAATGAATTGTGTTTTGTTTCAGATTTTATCATTACTTGTGACGTACCTCATAGTTCTTGTGCAACTGAATTCTTCGTTTGCTCCTGCTCCATCAAGCAATGGATTTAATAATAACAACACATTAACATAATGGATGACAATAATAAAGGACAATAAAAATACTAATTAGATTATTATTATTATTATTATTATTATTATAATTTTTTTTTTAGAATTTCAATTTCCAATTCCTTTATTTAACTTATAAAATAATCACATTTAAAATAAATATTGTGAATAAATAATTAAAATAATTTCATAATGGTGATTTCTTTAGTTAATTTACTATATAATTTTTATTGATGGATATAAGTACTTAAAATAGTTTTAATGTAAGTTGATGGATCCGTTAAGTTTAAACCTGAAACAAAATATACAGTTGATTTAGTAATACAAATTGATCATGAAATATATCTGTAATTTATACAACAACTAACAATGATAAGAGGTAAGGCAAGCATTAGTACTTATAAACATTAAGAATTAAAATAACAAATATCAAATGTATATAATATTACTAAAGTAATCCTAAATTATATGTTGCAATGTCCAATTAAAGTGGAAACATTTGCAAGGGGAGCTTTATATTACTATGCACTTTTATTTTGTGTATTATGCAGCCAACAAATCTTCAGAGATCCACAAATATTTATATATTTATAAAGTTAGTTATATTTTTAGACATATTTAAATTATTGAAGGGAAAATAATATATAATTATTCACTAATACATAAAATTCTTATCTTACGTGCAACATCACAAAATTCTTCAAACGAGGTACAAGGTAAAAAGTCTTCACTGAAAGTAGCCATCATCTTCTCTGATGATTTGAGCAATGATTCATCATTTTGACGGATATAATCAGCTAAACAAACTGACCAACTTTTATTTTCAGGTACCTCGACAGCCTGGAAATAATAACACCAATATAAGTATTTAATTATTTAATACAAATGTATTAATAAAAATATATCATTATAATCATTACCTTAAAATAGTATTCATACATAGTGTTGATTAATGCAAAGAACATCAGAGCTGGTTTGTAAGCAATGTAATCATGAGGAGTCATAGGCACAGAGCGTACATTAGGTGCTATAGAAGAATTTGTATGATAAACATGAGCCATTAATATGATTTTATTGAAATGCATTAAATGATGAGTTGATTTCCATTTTGGATACGGTGTTAACATAATAGCCATAGTAAGCCAATATAATGGACCTTCAGTGTCATACAAACTATCAATCAACCGGTCAGAAGGTTTTGGTTCTAAATATGCAAGTAAATTACGTTCTTCAGCGCTGGATCTCCTTGTCCTGAATAAATATATGGTAAATAGATTAAAAGTTATAATAAATTACATACCATCTATTAACTAAACATGACAATATAAAATTAAATCAATACATACGTGTTTATCACATATAATGACATATGCATGAGGTATGGTACTAGATTCATATTAGACTGAGGTCCACCACCTCCAGTATCTTCATGAAAGCTCTTTTCTTGAGCAAATCTTAATAATAGTAACTTTAGATCATGAACAGTTTGCATATAACTTATATCTCTTTGGCCAGTAGCTTCTTGTAAATATGAGTTATGTCTTGCTAAACAATTTGCATAAGCGGATTCAGCAACCGAAGGACCCCACATAGGTAATAAGCCATTACACTTTGTATTGGCATTTTGTAACGCTGCAGATTCCCATTCATCACGAACCCTTGCAAGTCTATTAAATACAATTATATGAATAAAACCTATTTTGATTTTAATTTTAGTAAACAAATAAAAATTAAATATTAAAAGAACACCACACTTACATGTGTTGTCCCGTTTAACACGCATATAATGTAACAAATTTGCATTTAGTAGTTCAAAAGTAATGATATAAGCTTTAGTGTTAAAGTAAATTGAGCTATAATAATACTTTAAATGAAGATCATTATCATTATCTGTGTTTTGTTGGTTGGTTTATTTTGATAGTTAAATTTTCAAGCGAGTTATGAGATTTTTTTTTTAAATTGTAATATTTGTAAAATTGTAATATTTTACATACTCATAACTCACTTAAAAATTAAAGTATCAGAAAAAAATTGAACAAAAAACAGATAAAGTTCTTCCCTTAAGCTTTGATTATACGTCAGTTTACTCTAATATTAAAGCTAATATCACTATATTTGAACTACTTAACATAAATTTGCTATGTTATACATTTGTCAGGAGGAGAAAATATATAAAAAAATAAATATGGGTGTGGTGTCCTCTTAAATAATATTATACTATATTAGTATGTTTGATGCATATTAATAAATTATAATAATACATTAAAATTAACTAATAAATATTATAAACCATTATAACATATATTAGACTTTAACTATTCATTTTGAACTTAATACATATATTTGGGGAGTTATAATGCTATATAAGCTACCAATAAAAAATCTATTAAAAAAAAAATTGTATTATTAATTATTAAATATATATTGTCATTAAAATATATCCCAAAGCAGATGTTATAATTTTTATTTATTTTAAATTTTATATTGATATTAATAAATTATCTAATACATGACAAATTAATATCGATACAACTGATATTAAACTAACTACTTTATTTAAATGAAAATCAGTTAAATATTTTTTTTAAGCATATGATCAAAAAAAAATTTATACTTAACAAAATATATATTTTACATACTTAATAGTTTAGTATATTCCTTACCTAACCGCAGCCATATGACAGTCAAAATGTACCACATTGAAATGTGTTACAGTACTGTAACCAATGGTTTTACGAGCTTTCACTTCGTGTTCTTCAATTACACACCTCTTGGTAAAGGTATAAATACCTAATACTTTGTTAGGTTGGAACTTATATCCTTCTCGACAAATAACACATACTAGTCCAGTCTCTTCTCCTAAATCTTCAACTTGTTGTAACAATGAAGTTTCAGCAGTTACTTGCCCTTTTTCATTAGTACGCATTCCTAATTGGCCAAGTTGTTTTTGACGCATGGCCATTGCTAATCTTTTCTTCTCAGCTTTAGTTTGTTCTCGGACTTGTTCTATTTTTTCAGCCATTTTAGTATTCGTTTTTAGAGCTTCTAATAAATTTTCTGCTAGAGATCCAACATGTTCATCTGATGACACTTGCTCTAAGCAATGAACAGTTTGAATACATTCATCAGAAACAGCAGTCTAAAAAGAAAAAAAAACATTAAAAAATTAAACTAAAATTCAATAAAAAAATTTAAAAAACAATGCAATTCTAATACTATTAAGTATTAATAATAATATGTATAGTAGAGTAACATACCTGGGTTGGTTCATGACTATTAGCTAATCCAGTCCAAAATCGTAATATATATTTTAACGAAGGTTTTGATATAAATTCTTTCCATTCATCTTTATCACTATTCTTGTTTAAAGTTGATTTTACAGTAGGTGCATGACGCTATAAAATATAAAGTAAATAATAAATATTAAAAAATATATAGAAAATTATCGAAATAATAATTTAAGATTCAACTTACTGATATATATTGAGTGACATTATCAATAACCCCCAGGGAAAGTATATAATCTTTTAGGGTATTTCCAAGTGAATTATTTTCTATGCCATAGGTCAAATCACAAAACAAATTCATCTAAATATATTAAAATAAATTATAATAATTTATCATTGTTTATATATTTATAAGTTTCAAAAAAGGTAATTTATTTCAATACTTACCATTTGTTCATCTTGAGCAGAGTGGACATCATCGAATTTTTCAAAATCAGAAATAACAGAAGCAAAATGGTCCATAAGAATAATCATTTTAGCTTTATTGTTGTATGTAAGAGCAGCTAAAACCCGAGTTAGATGCTGAACAATTGTATACCGAGCATTTGAAGCACAGTGTAATAGGTAACGAATATGATCATCAGGACCAAAAGTCTCTGATAATTGAGCAAAATCTTCTAGACTTTGAGAAGTAGCTTTTGAGAGTATTGTTTCTAAAATCTATTTTTTTGTAAATTAAAAAATGTGTTAAAATTAAATAATAATTTTTACTTACGTCAAGAGTTTGTTCAGTTAGAGCAGTATTTGATAAACCATCAGCTTCATTACTTAAACATAACTCAAGTGTACTAAGTAAAATTGGTATGGATTCTAATTTAGGATCAGTTAATACTTCTTGATTATGTTTTACCCGAACACAAAGACCAAGTAGTTTAAGTAGAACTTGTAAGAGTGGACGTGACCTTGATAAATCTTCTATTGTAGATAATCGATTTAATATGACTTCTAATCCACGACATTCGGCCATTACATTAGCCATTTTATAAACTTCTTCATAATTGATTTCTGTGTCAGATTTAGCATCTAATGTTTCAATAAATTCTTCAGTAGCATCTCCTAATAATCCTCTCATGCGATATACAATATGCATAGCTTCACCACCTTCTGGCAACCAGATTTTTTTGAATACCTAATATAAATTCATAAACAAATTATACTTTTGTATTTAAAATATAAATGTAAATATAAAATTTTACCTCTTTAACTGGCAAATCCAAGCTAATAATCTTATTGTTAACCAAAAGTTCCATACCATTATCATCCTCAAGTAAAGCAACTAATTCACAATCTTGACAGATCTTATTTTTTACATCTCTCATCAAAGGACCAAGGCCAGGTTCATTACTGCTGTATGGATTACCTAACATACGACCCTATAAAATAATTATTTAAAATGTTTTTTATTCAATTAACAATTATATCTGTAAAACATTACAAATTTAAGATATATAATAAAATAACAAAACAATTTAATGGTATAATATTATTAATTATTATAATTTTATCTTAAATAATAGACCACTTACTTGCAAAAAATCTTCTTGTTGAGGATCTTTATCTAAATTCATGTAAAATTCACCAACATCATTTTCTTCAGGGTAAATAATTGAACATAATCTTTCAAATACAAAAACTGGAGTACGTACATCCTGTGGATCACACTTTTCTACAGTTTCTACACAAATTGCCATAAATGCTTTAGATTCAGTTTCAGTTCCACAAGTCATTTCTTCAAGAAGATCCAAAAGCTGAGATTGAGTTTCATCAATTAAACGTGTTCTCTGAACAACCAAACGACGAAGGGATAGATATCCATTCAAAATAGCCCCGACAAGCCTTCCTTTATACTGTTGTTTTATGCTCTCAACTTCCAAAAATGATGCCAATAATCCTGTTAAACTTTTCAAAACAAACCCTTGAGCTAAATCTGAAGTTAATGTAGTTTCTTCCAAATAATGCAAATATTGGATTTCTTTAGTGATTATATCAGAAATCATTATAAGCACTCCTCGCAATGCCAAGTACTGCTTCCAAGGAGTTTGCTGTATTAAATTTTGATATAAAGCTAAAAATTCAGCACAGTTTTCTCCTGCACTTCCAAGTTCTGTTAAAAATCCAGTTAGTAAATCTAAAATCTCTAAAAATATATATTGGTCAATAATTGAGGCATCCATAGTTAAATAACAAACTGTACCTCTTTTTTTTCTTTCTGGTGCTTGAGCAATACCCTCAAATATAGCACATGCTACTTGTCTTAACAACCTTGTACTCGAACAGAATAAGAAATGTTTCAACCAAGAAGATTCTATTAAATGGAATGGCTTAACAATATCTCTTAAAGTATACAATCGCCATTTTTTGAAATATTTAGAGGCTAAATAATATTGTCTTATTTCATTCTAGAAAATATCAAGTATAATGTTTTATTAATTTAAATAATTTTATATCAAGAACATTAATGATAATAGAATGTACATAAAAGTTATTTATTTTTCCCTATATAAAAAATAAAATGTATTATATGATAACATCCACTTAAATAAAAAAAAAATAATAATAAAGGAGTACACTTAACACCATGAGTTTAAATAAATGTATCTATTAATTTATAAAGTTTAAAATCATTAAAAAATTTGAAGTAAATTTAATTTAAAAAAATTAATTAATACCTTTGATTTAGGTTTTTTAATTGGAATATCCAGTACTTTTTTTTGAAGTCTTTGTCGCCATGCATTAAACATATGTTCAGGACTTTGTTTAGCCCATTTTCTAAAATCAACCATCAAATGATCGGACATTTGAATAGTTGATAAACTTTCTGTAGATTTATCCTAGAGAAAAAGAGATTCAAAAGTTATTAAAATAAACATAATCATATCAAATAATAAAACAATTTATAATTCATTAACTTTGAACCTTTTTGTTTTATTATTTAATGTGATATATAAATATTGAGAATAACCAATACTAAAATAATATAAATTAATTATTTTAACTTAAGTTAATTTAATTTAAGTAACAAGTGACTAATATAATATTATACTGAAAAATCAACACATACATATATTACTATAGATAATAACAAATGGTTACATCGAAAGAGGAAAAAATATAAATATTGAGATATTATGATTACTACTTATTTTGTTTCAAAAATATTTTTCATAGGTAAATATAATTAAATTGTTTTACATATAACATTCAATAGATTCAAAGTATTTAAGACAACAGATATATATATATATATATACTAGACCAAATATCTAATTTATAACAGTAGCTAACTTATTAAAATATATTAATGATATTAAAAATATATATAAATTGAAAATATAAAAATATATCAAATTATATTAATGTTGTTATTTTTTTAAAAAAAATAACTATAAATTAATTGAAACTAAATTTGAAATAATTTACCTTGTTTACTTTAGCTATTGAAGCTGGTGGTTTGATAATATTGCGCATCATTTTTAGACATGGCAATGTTATATATGTAACAATAGCTGATGATTGGAATTCTTTGCAAGTCATAAAAAAAAGTTGCATTACACATTTGGCTTTTTGTTCCCAACATGAATCTTCTTTATACAACATTGTTGCTAGTAAAGATATCTCTGGTCTAACAGCAAAAGCTAAATCAGCATTTGCTATTGGGCCCCGAATCGTTAGTGATATTCTTTGACTTAATAATCCACATAAATCTTCAGTTGCTTTTTGATTATCTTGTATTAAAATACATAATAAATTTCTTACTTCTTCTTGAGTCTAAAATTTCAAACCACAAATAATGAATATGATATACATATATTAAAAAAAAAAAAAAAAAAAAAAAAAAAAACAATTTTAACTATTACTTGAACTGAGCCTTTTCTGATATTATTCTCAACAAGTTCTTGAATGAGCCCTTGTTGCAATAATATTTTACGCAATGTCATGTTTGTAGCAAGAGCACGTAACATAACAAAGCAATGTTCTAAAGCTGCTGTTATACACCCATAACAATTTGTATTAGGTAAAGAGCATGCTGATGGTATATTTTGAGAAATTGATAAAGATGTAAAAGAATCAGATACTGAAAGAGAACTAAAACTGCCATTAAAACGAGTAGTTGATTTAGCTTGACCCAATTGTTTTTGGTCATATGCTATTAACTCTTTACGGCTAGCCAACACTTTCTGAAATAATTAATAACAGTTTAAATATTAAAAATACAATCAAAAGTGATATAAGGTATTAAATAGACAAAATCAAATTTAAAACTTAATATTCACTTGTACAATACGGCTGAGATCTTCAAAAGTATTACGACATTCAGAGCCATACTTTTGAGCTAATAATTGAATAGATCTATTGACTTGATGTACTGGTCCAGAAGAAATATTATTGTTCATAGCACCATTAACAACAGCTGCAAATCCTGAGACAGGAACAACATTTGGACTTTGACTCTCTTCTGCATTTGTATTATTAGATTTTTCCAAACGATTTTCCATAACTTTAACTAACATATTCTAAAATAAAAATTTTAATATACTGAATTAATATTTAAACTTAAATTGGTTTTAAATTTTTGAAATTTATTAAAATTTAAACTTTAAATTGAAAAACTATAAATATTTTACCTCCAAGATAGGTTTTGATGACACTAATTGTTTATATAATCTATCGGCTTTTTCCAAATTTGAATTAATGGAACTCACAGTTTTATTTCTATCATCATCATTTTCAATAGGATCAACGGCACAACAAGGCTTAGCAGTTAATACATAATCAAATTTAGCATATTTACAAAATCCACAAGAATGACAGAGGAAAGGATCTTTTTCATCATAGTTTATAGCCCTTATAGTAACAAAACAAAAGTAAATATTATGAATGATAAATAAACAATAGTAAGTACTAGGGTCAACTTACCGGCATTTATGACACTGAAATACATTTTCACCACAATTAGAACAAACTCCAGGATTTGCTGGAACTGTCGCACTACATCTAGGACACTGTAAAGTCTCTGATGAAGCATGCAAATTTTCATAAAAGCTAGCATATTCTATTAATAAATTGCATGCTACTATTGGTACAGCAAATTCGACTTTTACTTCAGTTTGCCCAGATGTCAATGTGATTTCTTTTGCTTTATGCCACATTGCTGGTTTATTTTTAAGTTCTACCACAGCTTGTACATATCGATTGTTGTAAAATATATTCATTGTGCGTACCATTTTAGTACGCTTTAAATCAGTTATACGCAACACAATTTTATTAATTGTATGACTTCCCATAAGTTTAACAATTTGGGTAGTAGTTGTAAACTTTGAATCTACCTTAATGGAAGTCAATTTGATATTGCTGAATGGTATTTCAGGGTTATTACAAACCATGCATGGTTCACTTTCTAAATAAAAACCTTCTAAATCAACATACTGTGATATTTGTGTGTACAAATTAGCATTAGGATGACATGCCAATTTATAATTTTGAGTTCTTAGCAGTTCAATCGCCTGTTCAACATATTTGGTAGATGTGGCAGCTTTCTGATTGTATTTAAAACTAAAATATCCTAATAAGTCCACAAACTGAGATGCTTTTCTTCCATATGTTGGCAATTGTGGCCATAAAGCCCACAGTAATTCAAGTAATTTTTCTTGATCATCATGTTCTGAATTTCTATAAATTGACAATACTAATGCATGAGCTTGCCAACGAATATGTGTAGAATTTGTTTCAAGTAAAAATGTTTTAACAAAACGTGTTAAAGTATCTCTACTTAATCGCTTATTCATTTCTTTAACTAGTATCATACATTGAGCTTCTTCAAGCATAGCATTCTCAATATCTTCAGCTACTTTAGAAACTTTTGATTTGGATTCTTTTGTAGAAGGTGTTCCTGATTGGTTTTTAGCACCACAAATAGCATACTGAAGCAAATGTAAAATCGTAGAAGATACACCCTCATCTAAAAGACAAGCTGCACGCATTAAATACATTAAAACGGTATTATCTTTTCGACAATATAGCTGCCAGTTTAGCATACGGCTTGACGCAATATCTACACAAATTTTTACATCTTCGACAATTTCAACAAGTTTATCATATGTTAAATTAAGAGATGGTTGTAGATTTCGGTCATTAATAAAGCATGTAAGTTGAAAATTCTAAAAATAAAATATAAAATACAAATATATACTAATATAAAAAATTTAACTGAATTATAAATGTGAATTAATTTTATATTATACCTTCATACTAGTTGACAAAGCATGCATATCTCTAATCTGGCGATATTTATCTTTGTTTCCACATACAAATAATAGTAGTTTTCTAACTTGACGTTTGATAAATGGGCTAATTGTTTTTAAGCTCATAAATTCACACAATACAGATAACCATTCCTAATGAATGAAAAAATTTCTGACTGATTCAAAATCTCCAAATTAATTAAATTATTTTAAATACATACTGCTTCAAACGATAATTGCGACCAACTTTTCTGTATTTGATATGGTAAACGTAATAGCATTTCAGTTAGAATTATAGGGTAGTTGTGAAAAATATCTTTTGTTTGGCTAACTGAATAAGGTTTTAAAAAAAATGGACTCATATCTGGAACTTGTGGTGGACCACTTGGTTCTAACAAAACACTAACAACAGTGGCACCATTATCATTATTTTCGCTAAAACTAAAATATTTTAAAATAAATTAAAATACAAATCAAAAAGAATAATTAATTTAATTATTACCCAGCCCAATATTCTTGTAAAGCTTTTAATGCTTTTAAACAACAAGGTATAAATTGAGCATGTTTTAACATAGATGCTGCAGTTTGAGATAAATAAGTAGTATGATCGGATGATGATTTAGAACTAGATTTAGGCCTTGCTAATAAAACACCTATAAAATTAAAGATTACAAAAATGTTTATAAAGAATATTAAAATAATTTTGAAATTTACCAATAAAACGCATAATAATTATGACTATTTCTCGCTGTGGATTTCTTATATGTAAATTAGAATCTTCTAATGTCTCACGACAAATATATGATATAAACATTTGCATAAGTTCAGTAAAGTATTCTTTATCTCTTTCATTATTTAAATCCATATCTGCCACAATTGAAGACACAACCTAAAAATAAAATTAATAGATATATTCTAATTTTCATTAACAATTATAATTTTCTTAAAAATAAAAGGAACTTACACATTGAATCATAAACTACAACAGTATATATAATCTAATAATCTTACTTGGAAAAATGGTATAGCTCTTGTTCCTCCAATATTGTGAAGATTAGGAATATGATTAATAAACTTTTCTAACAAGGACAGCCTTAAGGTATGTAAATGGTTATTTATTTCTAAATCTTGATCATAAGCGATTTCTACATCTAAATCTCCTCTTTCGACTTGACTCTAAAAATATTAACAACACACTATTAATATAATATATTATAAATATGAATATAATACTTACAATTTCTGTTGGTGATGTTCTTAAATTGCTACTTCCTGGTACAGCATTTGTATCTTCATCATCAGAGCCAGCTGCAGATGCAGTTGTGTCACTCAAATGACCTTGTTGTGTAGATTGGACTTCAGAGTTTTGACCGTTTTCATTATTTTGTGATGATATTTCTTGCATATTCTAATTAAACAATTGTTAATTATTATATAATTTTCAAATGCTATAATTTTAAATTAAATTATCTTATACCCTTAATTCAGGCGGTGCATTTAATCCTTGTAATTCCACAAATCCTTGTTGCAAACCTTGCCTTATATTTTGGAGTTCTGCATTATTACCCATTCCATCATTATCCTGCATATAATAATAATAATATAAAAAAGCTTATTAAATTAAATAAATGATTAACTTTTTAAAGTATATTACTTGAAGACTCAATGCAATAGCCAATTCTACCATTGCTTCATCATCAGCATCAGGTGGAATAATAAGACCAGGAAATTGGACATTTCCAATTAATACCTCCATATTTTGACGAACTTGTTCTTGTGGTTCAACTACAAAAGTAATATATTGTCATTTTTTAAAAGATAAAATCTGGTGTTTATTAATACTGTAGATAAATTAATTACCTCTAGGATCCAATAAAATAATTGGTTCATCAACTTCGTACTGAATATTTTCTTCTGGAGATTCTTGAGGAACTTGTATTTCATTTTCAGATTCTTTGTTGGATGACTCTTTTACTAAATTAGAATATTTTTTATAGCAATTGTAATAAAAATAAAATGTAATGAAAATAATTTAATAGCTTATTTATTAATTACCTTCAACTGACTCTTTGAAAGAAATATCTCCACGAACTGAATTTAGTTTATTCTTCCCAAAAACATGTGGTTTTAATGCTCTCGAAAGTGCTAATTTAGCAGTATAACTAACTGCTACATCTTGGCATAATAAGAAATCTAAGTAGAACTTAGATATTGTATTAATCTGAGAATGTTGAAAACCAGTATATTCATAAAATAATAAAGAATGTAAAATTTCAACAAGAGCATAAACAACAGCTTCTGTATGTTTAAGACCTAAATATTAAAAAATGTTAGAAATTTAACAAAACATAACATTAAAAATACCGATTTACTACTAACCAGGAACATAAATTGTGCAGTACGATGGATTTTTTGGTCTATTAAAGTATAAAATCCAAAACACAGACATAAGTTTGTGAATAAGTAATTGACATCCAATAGTTGACTGATCAACATTCAAATTTATTTCTGAAAATAAATACATTTATGATTTTAAATTGATATTCTAGAAAAGCAATGGTGTATCTCTTTCTAACATCAAATTGTTATTACAAAATTAATTTAGAATAAATTATTTGCTATAATACAAAAAATAAACATTTTATAATTTTTTTTTTTTTTATTATATATTTAAAATACAGATTTTTTTTATAAATCCACATAAAGTAACAAAAATATTGCTGTTTAATTGAAATTATTAATCAGTTTTGAAAAAAAAATTCTATGTATAAATTCTATATAAATACATAAAATAAGACATATGTTCTAGAAAACTGAATATATTTTTTTACTTGCATCGACAGTGTCAAAAACACTAAATCAGTATAAAATTAAGATATATTTACTAAAAAATAATTTAAAATAGTATTTTGAGTAAAACTTAAAAATTTATTTGCATTACCTTCATTCTGCGTAAATTCAAAGTTGGATAAATTTTGTGGTCTACTAACTGCAATACCTCGAGTTATTAAAACAAGTCTATAATATGCTTCAGCATCTATATTTTTATCTTCTTGTTCTAAATCATGTAAAGATTGAAGAATATAATTCAACATAGATTGATCCTAAAAATAAAAAATTATACAATTAATGTTATATACTAGAAATTAAAATTTTCTAATAAATTTGATTTTACCTTAAAAGTATGAAATTCTGGTTGCAAAACAGCTAATAATGATTTAGAATGAAGTTGAATACATGCTTGAGTACTATGATTTAATAATTTTAGTGCAACGTTGATAGCTTTAGTTTTATTGGATGAAAATTTCTCCGTATCATCATTCAAACAATAATTTGATACGCTAAAGCTATTTTCTAATACTGATAATAATCCAATGACAAATCTATAAACAAAAATTATTATTAACAAATAAATTATATATATGATAAAAAATAAAATATCAAATTTAAATCATAAATAGTTATAATGATTACTATTCAACTACATTTTATATATGCAAATCATAACGATTTTGTACACCTATTTAATATACCTATTATTTGTACCTCTTTATTTATTTTGATAGGAAATAAATTCAATTTTAAACCATTGGTATATTAAATTGTTGTTATGAAAATTTGATTATTATATAAAAACAAAATAAAAATTATAGATAAAATCTAAGGTAATTACTATTTTAAATCTATTGTTTTACAAATATTTATGTAAAAATATAGGTTTTTTAATATGAAAACTTAATTTTTTAATATTTTTAAATATTTTACTTGTCTAAATGATTGATGGTAAATCCAGTTAAAGGTAACTCTTTCTCTTGCGAATTGAACTGATTGGTTGTAACTACAGTACTAGAAGAAGTTGAACCATATATTGTACCATTACTGATTTCATCAACTTCATCAGGCCACCCAAATGACTCTTTAGTTTTTCCATACCTTTAAGAGTTTTAACATATAAAAATTTAAAATAGTATATTATTGATTAATAAAATATAAAAATAAAATTTTAAATACTAACACTTTCACAGAATCAATCATAGTAACACCTTCTGGATCTCGTGATGGACCAAACACAATTACTAATTTTTTATCACTTTGAAGGCTTTCCTCTCTGGTTAATGGAAAATCAAACCATCGACTTCGAGTAATAGGTACCAATGGCAATGTGCGTCCTAATACCTCTATATAACCCGGAGCACGCCCTGTATCTTGACTACCAACATTAATTCTTATTCCAGCAATTACCATAGTAGCATCATTATTAATAACTTCAATACTAAAACGAGGTTTTGTTGACACTACATACATCCCTAGAGCAGTTATAAAATGTATTAAAAATTAAATAATTTTATCAACTAAATTATACCTTAAAAATTAAAATACATAATAAGTATTGATACAGCATATTTTCATTGTTCTTACCATTACTATTCAGTCTATTTTTTATTTGTTGAGGGTTGTAAATTTGTAATAGATCATTACCACCAAATTCAATTTCATTCATAGTTACACAATACTCAAAGAAATCAATTGGAAATGATGAACTACTTCCTGAAAATTAATATTAACATTTAGATCTATGTAAAATAAGAAAATAAATATGTTTAAAGAGAAAATAAATACCTGAGGATCTTCCAGATTTATTTATTTTCTTTTTCTTCATTTTACAAGACGTTATATGACATGAGGGTTGAATAGATGGTGAAAGCCAAAAATCTACAATAATTTAATTTATATTTTTAGAAAAATTGCAGTAGGTATATTAATTCTCAATATTATACTAAAAATAAATTTATTATAATTCTAATTAAAAAAAATCTTTGAAATACCATAAATCAAGAAGTACTATATCAGTTTTTCAATAATAATTAATAATTAATGTTAAAGTTAGATGGATGAGTAAAGTGACAAGAGAAGATAGAATAAAGAACGAATAAGTGAAAGGTAGTATTGGTGAAGTATTGATAGTGGATAAGATGAAAGAAAATAGACCGAGATGGTTTGTGATTTGGGCATGTGATGAAGCAAGAGGAAACAAAATCAGTAAGAGTAATTATGAAAATGAATGTTGAAGGGAAAAGAGAAAGAGGAAAAACAAAAAAAGAGATGGTTGGATACAATTGAAAATGATGTGAGGGCTGTTGATATGTATGTAGGGGATGTAGAAAATCAAGAGGAGTATAGGTTTAGGATAAAGGTGACCGACCTCAAATAGTAAGGAGAAAAGAGAGGAAGAAGAAAAATTCATTTTAAAGTTATCTTCATGATATCATACAACAAATATTCCTTTTAATACTCAAATACTTAAAACAAAAAATTTAAATAATATTAAATTCAATCCATTCCAATTAGTATTAAAATAATAAAATTAATTTACACTTGTAAATTAGTAATAGTTTAATTTATATATAAGTATGTTCATATATAATAACTTATACAACGAAAATATAAGATCACCTGTTTGTTCTTTAGCTGCTAAGAACATACGTAAACTACCATCTTCACATAAAATTATTAAAGTTGTTCTATAATCTTCACTTGATAAAGGATGGCGTACAGCTACCATATCTGTAATCTTAGTCTTAGTTTGAGCCAACTTAATTTCTTGAAGACTAATAACTTTTGGTGTTATCATAAATACGACTGGAGTATTGCCTAAATAAAAATTAAATGTCAATTAAAAATACATAAATTATTTTAAAAAAAATATCAACATTTTTAATTTTAATCTTACGTTATGAAAATATGAAGAAAAGCCTTATTATTATTTAATTAATAAAAACATAAACCTTAATGTTAAATATTTGATGATTCTAAACTTACTTGACTGCAATATTGCACATACTAAGCCAGGATGTCCAGGAACTTCAGACCACTGCCACATTGGTTGAGTAGGAGGTACAGAAGTACTTGATTGACTAACATTACTCTTATTTTTTGCACTAGGGCTTGATGTTTGTGAATTAATGGCAAAAACTGGGTGCAATGTAATAACACCACCTTCATATCCATCTTCATCTAAAGGTGCAATAAATGTGCGACCAGGAGTCACATAACTAAACATTAATAGTGATAATGTATGTGAATAATAAACTGACACACCACCTCCACAAACTTGGCCATTTATATCCTAAAATATAAATAAAAATGTTTAATAAATAAAAAATAAAAAATTAACAAATATGATTATATTTGTACTTACACTAATATCTGGATGAACAATATCAATAGTATTAGTCACATAAAACGGACCATGAATAGCTGAACTGCCTAAATCCATATCTTGTGTGTATATATAACCTCCGGAAGATATTAATATCATGGTTGACCTCTCCTAAAAAAAAAAAAAATAACAATTTTAAATCATTAATTTATATCTAAGTAATATACATATGTATGCAGCATGATCACCATTTAAGATATCAATAAATATCTCAGCTTGGTATTATAAACATAAAACAATTTTGAATACAAACTATTAAATAATTAATATTATAATCAAAAAGTATTGTTTTACCTCAGTACACATAAATGTTACATCTCGTATTTTTCCAGTAGGTACAAGAAAATAATATTGAGGACTTAAAACATCTTTGGATAAATCATAAATTTTAACAAATTCAGCAGACACCAAAGCTAAACTAGTTTGTGATCCAGGAAGCCAAATTGAACGAATTATGAAATTTCCTACTTCTAAAGTTGGATGAAGAACAATGTGCTCATTAACAGTTCCACTTGTATTGAATGTTAAGATATGACAGTCCTAAAAAAAAAAAAAAAAAATTATAAAATTATAACTAGTCATTTAACATTTAAAACATTTATAAAATGCAATAATTTATATAATACCTTTAAGCCACACACAGAAAGGAAGTCTTCATTAACAGGATTTGCAGTAACTGATAAAACAGTAAATGGGATAGAAACAGAAGATAATCGTGTTAAAGTTAATTTGCGTTTTGATACATCTGATTGTTTTAATAATGAACTCATTTGTAGTACTGCTATTTTTCCTTTGTCATGAGATACTGCAACTAAACATAGATACATACATCAATATTATAAATTATAACATAATGCATCTTCCATCACAAATTTTTAATTTTGGAGATATTTAAATGTACTACTTAAAAAAAAATCTATTTTAGGGGATGGAAAGCAATCATTTTCTATTTCTGTAAATTGATCAAATACTATATGTAACATAGTAAAATATGTCTTTCATTTTCAGAAAAACTATAATGTCTATATAAATAAAATGTGATGTCAATTGTAATTTAAAACGCTTAGAATTAAAATACTTATAATCAATTTTTCACATAATTTGTATATTTTAGCTCAATTTGAAGTCATTAGTATAAAAATAAAATTGTTTAATAAAAATGTTATAGGTTTTATTTTTAATCTGAATTGTAGGACATTTTGAGTATAATACATGAAGAAAATAGAAATAATGTTATTTTGAACAGGCCATTTTTACAGAAAATATATTTTTACCACATCACTCTCAACCAATGATTCAAGCTTTTAATATTTATAACTAAATAACAATTTATTTTATTTTTTATTTTTATACATCAATATTCTTCCCAGGAAAATATCAAATAAAAAACATGTAGCCATGTAAAAAATTTAAAATACTCTAACATAAATAATTTTTTTGTAAAAAATGATTATAGAAAAAAAATCATTCAATATATTTTACACAAATATTATATATATGATAAATATCAAACATATAGAATTAAAAATATATTTACCTAAATGTTGTCTTTTGCCGTGCAGAGATGATAAACAACACATGGCAACACGACGTATCATATGAGCAGAAAGTAGCTGCCGAATAGTTTGACCTTGATCTCCGCTAAAGTTCATCTTTACATTTTCAAAAGCACCTTCTTGAGATCCCATAGTAGGCAACTAACAATTAATATTTATGATATGTATCAATTTTAGTAAAGAGATTTAATATTAATCTAAGAAAATGTATAAATACCATTATATTATCTGATACTTCAATAGATTTCTCTAATTCTTGTAAATCATTTAATGTATCTAATGCTCTGGTATTACAACCAATTGCAGAATTTTTTTCACCAGATTTTATAACTACATTCATTAATTGAGAACAAAGTTCTAATGTTGGCTCGATTATTTGAGAATGATCCACTATTGTTGACATCAACAAATTCTTATAAGTTGCTAACAATGAAATATTATATTAATTATTCTTCATAAAATAATTAAATATATATTTAAAAATTTAAATATCATCAATTAATTACCAGTAAGTGAATTCAATAAAATAGATTCATAATCTAAACTTCTTGTACTCATAGTTCTCGGATCTTGATTTTGATCTGTAGCTGAAGATGAATTATAGGCATCCACTCTTTCTTGATCAGTAACTGGGTTTCCACCTTCAACAGAAGCTATTTTATCTCGCTGACTATTTGTATCTATTGAGTTAGGATTTCTTTTGATTAACGCCTATAAAAACATTTATTTTTCTTTTAAATAAATAAATATATATATAAGAAATTAAATAAAAATCAAATGAATTAAATCTTCAAAATAAAATTATGATAAAATTAACAGTTATAAATTGAATACCTGACAGAAATTGTTTTCTTTTGCACCACAGTCACAGAAAAAGTTTCCAAATTTAGCATAAGTAACATCATGACCTCGATGGCATACTTTAGCACAAATGCTACAAACCCCAACACCTTCAATCATTTTACAAGTATGACAATGATACCAATGTTGATTCATAAATTCTTTTTGGGTTACAGTAAATGTGCAGAGTCTATAGTATAAGCTATCTTCATCCTTAACAATTAAAAATATAATGAATTTATAATTTATATTAATAA